TGCTTGTCATCGCCCCTCAAGTGTACTGAGGTTACTCCCCATCTCCCACCATACTATCAAGACTCTTGTCTTCTCTGGTCAGCTGTCTCAAGTCACGGCCCTTATCATCACGCCTTTGGGGGTACGCTCCGTTTTGTGAGGAGCTTTTTAGGGTTCCTAAATGTGTCGCAATTAGGTTTCCATGATATTTATTTAAATTTTTAAATAAATCTTGAATCGTCGGATGTGTGATTGTGATCTACATGTTACGTTGAAGAAGTTTAGTTGTTTTAAATCATTTGTAATTGTAGCTCATCTTTTCGGCCTCTTTTATTTCCCTTTCATCGATTGTAGGCCTACACCTCTCATTCTCGTCTATTTTTTCTGCTTCATTTAATAACTGCTCCCCTCCTCTTGTCACGTCTTTTGTTCAGTAGTTGATTAATATTCGCTGGTCTCATAGTCGATTCATGTCATATCCCCTAAACATCCCCAAACAAACCAGTCTCGAGCCAAAGGGAGAGAACTATCGTCCCCAGGACAAGTAGCGCCCCTTGGACGTGCCAAATGTTCGCAGTTTGCTGGTGCCCTGATATTTGGCTCGACTAGCAGCGCCGCCTCCCACATAACTATAGCATAATTAATTGTCGTCTGCCCAGCCAGGGTGGGAGGGAGGGTGATCAATTGTATGCACCGAGTGGGTGCATTTGTTACGTCATCACTGTCCAGCTCAGTGGTTCTACAGCTGAGTTAGTGCTGCCCACACACACGAGACAGGGTCGTCTTTTACCTCCATTTTTAAACATAAATGACACTTTCATTGTTAGCAGCACACAGGAGGTTAGTGAACGTGAGGGTTTAGGTTAGGATATTGTTTCGGCTAACTACGGGCCCAGCACACAGGAGGTTAGTGAAACGTGAGGGTTTAGGTTAGGATATTGTTTCGGTTAACTACGGACCCAGAGCTACATGCAGATTTTTAAATAGTCGAATGTGGCGATTTTAAAAAGCTATAATAACGTGTCACAATACGCAGTAAACATCCTACAAAAGTTTTAATGGTTTCTACATTTCTGTTAAAAAAAATCATGGTCTTAGCCCTAAACTCTTGTGTCAGTATCTGTCTGAGTGGGATTGGGGGGGGGGGGGTAGTCTGTCGGCGAACATATAAGACTTATGTTTGTGCACATTGACAAATGTTTTGTCTATGTCCGCAGGTGGTGCATGTCAGCATGGACTAGCGGCGAGAAGAAAGAAAATTCCAGAACGAAGCTCAAGTGTTAACCTGGAGCTTTACTTATGTGGGTGAGTACTCCCTTGTGTTTTTTTTATCGAAGGTCGTCTCATAAAAACACGATTGTTACATCATTTTATATTTTACATATACTCATGCAAACTCATCCAAGTGTATGTGCAATATTAATTCACGCAATAGCCTAGTTCGGTGTCAGCTTATGCAATAGTCTAGGTCCAGTGTTAAAATGACTGTACTCATGCTAACATCGCGACTGTCTGTGTCTATGATCACATCGAGATGTTTCTCTATCCCGGATAACATAACATCACCACACTGAGGATAACATCAGTGTTGTGACCTGGTGTATTGCAGTACTTGAGTAACCTGACTACATTATCGGATTACTTCCATCAAGATAACCGCTAGACCGTGCTTTAGGTAAAATCTTGGGTTACAGAAAGTTGTTGTAGCAATCTCTCCCCTCTCCACTACCACTCCACTAGCCCCCCCCCCCCCTTGCTGTTTGTGCCACACTGTTGTCTAGAAGAGGTAGGGTGAGAAAGAATTAGGGCGGCTTTGTTTACCAGGCGTGTGTGCCGTCACGCTTGGATGCACCAGGGACAGTGAACTGAAAGTGAACCTTACAGAGCTAATGTCCTGTACGTCAGAGGTTTTATCTCTTTGGGGGCCCGGGGGAAGGGGGGAGGGGGGTGGCGCATTACGTGGATTTTAGCAGAAGATGCTAGCAAGTTTCAGTCAAACTATGTCACATTTTCTTATAGTGTTCTGTTATCATTGTTTGCTTTACTTGGGTGACTTGACTTAGTCCTCTTTGCTTGGGTACTGCTTACAATTTACGCAGTTCTAGTTAAACTCTTGTTGGATTAGAAAGAGCGGGTTGCGTTAAATATCCTGTGTGAATCCCCATCCACAACCACCCTCAAAATATCATCTTTTAAACAACGACTATAACTCTCTACACGAGAAGAGTGTATTGTCTTAAATAACTTGAAATGTATTGCAATAAATTATTGATGGACAGAATGAAAGCGGGTATTGCGGCAAGGCATACACTTATTTTTGTTAATGCTCTGTTGAATGGGGAAATAATTTGATTCTATTACAAATGTGATCACCTTTGACATCTTTTTACTTCTTGAATAAATCACTTTCTATGTCGGTTGTAGCACCACCACAGTCAAATGTTCTAGTCAAAATGCGTGTACCGTGTGTTGTATGGACATTTCGCTTATTACTAAATCATAAAACTGCATCTAAACTATAGGAACTTTTGGTTCAATAAAATTCGTGGTTTAACTAACTCCAGGTGCTGAACCTGATGGTTAGCAAACAAGAGTTCCTTCCCCTTCTCCTGGTGACTCGGTAACCTCCCCTACCACTGAACTGTGAAACCGCCTTGAGGTGGGGAGATTATTTGTTGAAAGGAATTTTTCCAGGCACTTTTCCTACTTGTTTGAAATCAGATTTTCGACGGCAGGCACGAAATTTTTCACATTAATCCCTTGGGTTTTAGCTTCGTTGTCTTAAATCCCCGCTCCTCCATAGTAACTTGATTCTTAGTACCCACACTTCACTTTGTTTTGTCATGTCTTCTTACCCCTCGAAGCTCGACAATAGAAGCGGAATAAAAGTTTAGACAATCAAAATATTTCGAAGTCAAACATAAACATATTTTTTTTAATAATGCACCTCTAAAAATATTAAATAACAAATGAAGTAATATTTCCTTATCAAAACGCGATTTGTTGTTTTGTTATTCTTTGATTCTTTTATATACATGTGTGTTTGTTGGTGTGGGATGGGGGTAATTAGGTGTGAGTGTGTGGGATATGTGTGTGGGGGTGTATGATGCATGTATAGTATACACACCCGCCTAGTTTACTTTTAAAGGCCTACGAATTCCATTCAACTTTTTTTTCTCTGGGTCACTAATCGCGAGCTTATTTTCCTGGTATGAGTCGTATCGTATATCATAACGGTGTGTGATGTACACAAATCACACCCCGCGCCCACACCACCCAATTAAAAACACGCCAGTAACCCGCGCCAGCTGCTGCCGAGCCTTTCAAGTGAATGAACCATCACCCGTAACACCCTGCGTTAACTTTATAAAGGCAAGTTGGTTTCAAAGCCACGCTTTCACATTTTTCCCCCCACATTAAAAAAAATGGCTACGATTGTGTCCGATAAACACGTTCACGGCCCTCCGGTATCGGACTGGTCGTGTTGTCGGCACGGTGTCATGTGTGCTGGTGTTTGAGTGCCTCCTCACACCTCCCCCACCCCCTCACACATCCCACCCACCCACACGATGAACGTTTTAAAGAGGCATTAGCCTCATGTTTGTTCAAATTTCAACCTCTGTTTCTAAACGAGTTTTTTTTAAATATTATTTTGTTCTAAAGTAGCCTTCTTTTTTTATGCCCCCTCCTGGCTCCTTCCTTAACGGCCATCTTCTTTCTCTGAAAGAAGTGAAAGCAGTAACTTGAAGGTAATTTACATCAGTGTGTTGACTCGTGAACACACGACGTGCTTTTACTGCCTGGGGACTCGTCTGTTTTAATAAAGTTAGTGTCCAATCATTTCATGTGATTTTAGTTAGGGATTTGGGTATTTGGGGCACAGGGGTAACTAAATTGTCTAGTCATTTCATGTGATTTTAGTTAGGGACTTGGGTATTTGGGGCACAGGGGTAACTAAATTGTCTAGTCATTTCATGTGATTTTAGTTAGGGACTAGGGTATTTGGGCCACAGGTACAACGATGTGGTCCAGTCATTTCATGTGATTTTAGTTAGGGACTAGGGTATTTGGGCCACAGGTACAACGATGTGGTCCAATCATTTCATGTGATTTTAGTTAGGGACTTGGATATTTGGGGCACAGGGGTAACTAAATTGTCTAGTCATTTCATGTGATTTTAGTTAGGGACTTGGATATTTGGGGCACAGGGGTAACTAAATTGTCCAATCATTTCATGTGATTTTAGTTAGGGACTTGGATATTTGGGGCACAGGGGTAACTAAATTGTCTAGTCATTTCATGTGATTTTAGTTAGGGACTTGGATATTTGGGGCACAGTGGTAACTAAATTGTCCAATCATTTCATGTGATTTTAGTTAGGGACTAGGGTATTTGGACACAGGTATAACGATGTGGTCCAGTCATTATAGTTTTTGTGTGTTAAGACTCAGGTAATTGGGCCATAGATCACAAGATAACACAATAACTAAGAAAACATGTTCTGCTTTTCTTCAAGATCCTCTTACCACTTGTCATAAAACAATCGCAGCTGATTTCACTCTATCGATTTGCCTACCACCGTTTAACTTTTTTTTTTGGATAGCTGCTTTTTTTAACCTGAAATATTTGCTTTATGTTAAGGGTCAGGGTTACATTTGGGGTTAAAGTGTTGTTATCGGTAATACTAGCCATGCGGATAATAAAGACTCCCCCTTTTTAACACTATCTTTTATACACAACTTAAAATTATAAATATTACTCTGACTTTGCAACTTAGACATGTTTTTTCTTAAACCGAAAAGTCAAAAATCTTTTTTTTTCGCTGTCAACTTTTATATTGTTACGATATCACAACACAAAAACAGTACTTTTTGTACTTTCATTCATCCCCGCCCATGGTCCCGCGTTTATCGTCGGGTTTTTTTTTCTCCCCGGTGAATCGGGAGTTTGTGACGTGCCACGCCTCCTGCCCTCCTGTCTTTGTGCTGACGCGGCCCACAGTTGAGCTCCCGACTGCGAGTGTTCACAACAGCGGGGAAAAAATGGGCAACGTTTAAAAGTGTCCGAGTTTCTTTTTATTTTTCATCTAGTCTAGATCTACCCAGATCTACGTGAAGCTGTTGTGTTTTCATTACGACGATTACGTCTTTCGCTGGATAATTCTGTGACCATAATTTTGTGATGTTTAAAGGGAAGTAATTTGTCTCGTAAGGGTAAGAGTTGTTTCCCATTTACTTTTTGTTTTGATGTCATTGTTTACGTGGGTTTGTTTACATTACTGGTGAAAGAAGAATAACCCCTCCACAACACAGCTATTGGTATTAGTAGGTTGCAGCAGATTCCATCATTTGGTGTGTAATGTGTTTCATGCTTGATGGGTGTAGGTAGGGGTTGGGGTTCTAAACATAAATCTAGGTTTATCGTTAATCTTCGTGTTTGGGTGAATCAGGGTGTTATCGTCATATCATCTAGATCTAGGTAAGACTAGACGAGTCGGGAGACTAGCTTTATCATTGGTGCATATGGAAGACTCAAGTTCTCGACTTCTCTAATAGATTCGGTTTTAGGACTTGACATTTTGTGTATACATACATATATTAACAGTGACCACATAGGCCTACCATGTGTAGATTGATAACCACATTACTAAAGCGATATGAGAGCAGTTATTGGCAGTGTTTCTTCCAGACTTTTTTCTCCGGGGAGGCACTTGAAATCTTCGGGGGGGCGGTAAACTTTCTTCGGGGGGGGGGGGGGGGGGCGGACACTGTTAAAAGTATATATTTTCTATATAAATTATATAAATTTCATTTCGTTCGGGGGGGCGGTAAAAATTTTTCGGGGGGGGCAAAGCCCCCCCGAAGAGATGCCTGGAAGAAACTCTGGTTATTGGTATGGTATAAAGAGAGTTGTGACTATGGAGGACGTACTTATTCAGTACGTATAGCTGTATGTATAGCTGTAATACTAATTTTGTAGTTGCACGAGTACTAGACCTGATGACGGAGAGAGAAAAAAAAAACAGGACTGTGAGTTCAGGTGTCTGTTACCTGGATGCTAGCGGTATTGATTGGTTTTACAGTAGTTACATGTTGCAGAGAAGTTTTTAATACATTTTAAAAATCTTTACATTACGCATGAGGTATTGCAACATGATCATATTCAGCCTTGCTTTTATTATGGTTTTACCAGCCTTAAATGTTGGTTGCCATGGTGACAGCCGACTCTTGGCATGTTTATACACGGTATTATCTCAGTGTGAGATTCGTGTTGCCATGGAGATTCAGATTTCTTGTGGCGTATGTCTAGCGCAGTTTCACGTTTGAAATGTATTGCAGCAATAAATAGTCAGGACGGGGGTTCTCTACTTATCTACCGTGGGGTGAGGGATGGGGAAGGTTGTATACCCAACTGTTTTAGCTCTTGAAATTATGTACATCGGGTTGTATAACATAGTCAAATGTTTTAGCTCTTTAAATTATGTAGATCGGCGTGTGGGTTGTATAACATAAGTTAAAGTTTTAGCTCTGGAAAGTCTGTACATCGGGTTGTATAACATTAGTAAAAAATGTTTTAGCTCTTGAAATTATGTACATCGGCGTGTGGGTTGTATAACATAAGTTAAAGTTTTTTCTCTTGAAAGTCTGTACATCGGGTTGTATAACATTAGTTAAAATGTTTTAGCTCTTGAAAGTCTGTGAAGTTCTAGATGTTGATCACGTTTGTCTGAAATATGATTCAGAAATGTCTGCTCTGTTTAGACTGTACACAAACTGGTCAAGAGTTTGCCTTGACCTTTCACTGGACATACAAACAGTTTTTTTTTAACCCTTGGAGTTTTTAGTGAAATATGTTACGTCCAGGCCAGAAAATGGCTGGGAATTTCCCCTCTCTTGTAGAGCCTTGTGAAATAATGAGCCAAACCAGCAGTGGGTTGAACAAATCATTATAAATAACGAGTGAAGAGGCCTGCATAAGACATTGCTTTAATTTAGTTTCTATTGCAAAGGGACCAGGGCTAAAGATAACATTTAGCGTGCTCGCTGTACGCTATTTAAATTTATTTATTTTAAAATAATTTTAAAGCGAGAGATCCTGCTATTTCGTGGAGCTACTGTATGACCAACCTTCATGTTGCCTACCGATAGCCATGTACACGTTTCTATTTTTCAGCATTCGTATATTTGACCTAGTCAACGGCTTTAAACGTAGAATTTCATGAATTGTTTTCGTATTGACACAAGGTCCGAACAGATATGTTGTTGACTGTTGTTATAAATAATTTTCTGAATAATTCGACGTGTTTTTTTAACCGGGGTTAAAGTAAAGTGAAAAATTAAATAATATAATTAACGAGTGATCAGAGATCAGCAAATTCCAACGCTCAAAGACTAAACCAATTATTTTTTAAAAATCACGTTATCTCCTATTGCGATCCGCGCTAATGGTAGTCGATGTCAATGGAGAAACGCTCTCCTGTGATAAAATGGCTCCTCTTAAAGTTATACCTCCGTAATTAAATTCTGTTTATTTTATAACTTTTATTTAAAACCCCCATTAAGCTTATTGCCTTTTCCTCCCCGACCTCCCCATACTTTCCATATTACATGCCCCGTATTCCCCAAGAACCACAAGAGCTATCTACCCACAATGCACGGTTTCATCACTGTCCGTGAATTCATTAGCTCCCCTGTGCTGTGTCTAGTGTAATGGTATCGCCTCCCAATCCTCGAGCTTCTCTCCCTTTGGATCCATTAAAATTCTCCGGCTTCGCGGATTTGTATCTGGCCGAAGGTAGTGGGGTGGGCGCTGAGAAGGTTTTTGAGTGCTGCTCCACGAGATAAAGTGCTTCATGGCTCGGGGTGCCGTGTAATCATGGCGTCACCCCGGACGATTTCATTGTCCTCATGTTTTCTCATTTATCTGATTTCTCTCTTGGTTGGTTGCTAGAGATTAAATGACGAGAAGGGTTGAAGAATTTTTGCTACGATCTTAGTGCATAGCCACAAATAAAATTTGGCTCATTGTTTGTGTGTGTGTAAATTATAACGTCTCTTGTCAGAATCGGCATATGTGTAAGAAGGCGATGGGGGGGGGGGTATTTTAGGAGGTGTCTATTTGGATGACATTTTGTCGCGAAGATAATTATATATGTATTTCAGGTGATATGACAAGATATATAGTTCATGTCCACCCATTTGTCGGGCGAAGTTGAGACATTAAGGTATAAAGCTGAACATACAGTTCTCATGTATACTTTTCAGAGGGGGGGGGGGGGGGGTAGTATTCTATTTCATTTGTCATTTAGACCACATAAGTCTCAGCGTGGCTCCTAGATTCGAGAATAAAAACCCGATTCGTCTATTCTAACCCAACACCCCAAACTTCACACCGCCCGCCTGTGATGTCAAAAATCTGACGGTCCTTTTGTGCATCGCCTCCCGCGTCTTCTGACAAAAATATTGAAAAGCCCGGGTGCACATGTTGCCAGATTTTTTTCTTTATGTTGTGCCAAGTTGGCGATCCGCAGACTAAAACACATCATAAAACCAAGTTATGAAAGGTTCGGGTACACCATATGGTCCCGTTTCCGGCAAATCTGTTAAAGTCATATTTTAAAAAAACACAACGCTCCTCGCTTGGTTTCAATTTTGTACTTAGCTCAGAATATTTATGTGTACAATACACAGTATAAAATGTTTGGTCGTTCTATGCTATTTTGCTACCTAGACTTAATTAGACCTGATCTAACCTAAGTGGGAAACAAGTAACTCTAAACTTACATCAGTTTAATCCCCAGCAACTAATTTGATTCCGTTATTTATTTGCATAAACATGTACAAGATAAGTTATAACCCAGCCAGAAAGAATAGGAGTGCTTGATGGATCCTGTACAACTGCTAACGATCTTGAGTAGTTTAAACTCCGACAAATACCCTTCTTTCCTTTCTACTTCTCCTCACTAGACCTACAATGCCATTGTCCTTATCTCAACCTCTCTCTAGCGTTGTTTTATTTTAATTTTTTGCCTAGTTGATCTCGAGATTAAACCTTTATTGGAAAACAAAGACCTGCTCTAGTTGATAGCTCTACATCAAATGTTATTTGAAAGTGCTGTAAATCTATCGGGGGCTAGGGGCTTGATTGATTGTTTCTAATTATACCACGTGGTGGGACATTTTGTAATCGTTGTGATCCGGGGGTTCAGCTTGTCACGATTGTACCGATAAAGAAGTTGCGTTTGTGTGTGTGTGGGGGGGGGGGGGGGGGTTAGTCCTTAGGCTAATTCACGTTTGAATGTGTTGCTTAATTCAAAATGTAATCATCGGCGTTTAGACTTTGTTTCCCTTTTATGTCGCGTTTTAGATTTGATAACAATCTTGGAGGCTGTTTTGGTGCGTGATTAACGAGAGTGTGTTGTGGTGTTTTTACTAGTTAGTGTTATATGTAGTGGTATTACTAGTTCGTGTTTTATGTACTGTTTTTATTTGTCAGTATTGACATATATAGATGGGAGGTGTAATGTATATTGTCACATCTAAAATGTATCTGTTTCTTTGACCAAGGTATATGGAGAGAATGTTTACCCGACTAGAGTAAGGTACCTTTAAGAACTGAGTGTACCCGTGGATATATATGGACTTAATGAACTTTGTATTATCTAAGGTAATTCAACATGTGTTGCTGATGGAGACGAAAATGGTAGTCGAGTTGTACATTCACAAAGTAATAGATCTGTAAAGTAACTGACTTTGTAGATCCAAAAATAATCGAGTGTTTAATCCAGCACCTAATCGAGTTTGTAGATCCACAAAGAACTCCATCCAACGTAATCCAGTATTCAGTGTATACCTGGGCATGTGGCCAAGACCCCTTGACTGTTGAAGTAATCAGCCTCCTGATCACCTCCCCTTATAACGAACCAGCTGACCCTTGCAGGCATCGCGTGCAGCGTTACGTGTACCTAATCAATAGATTGGTATGGAACCCGGGGACTACGGAACTCTTGGGAGACTTTGGTCTACATTGGTTGGGTGGACTGCCTAGAGTTTAGTCTTAGAGACTTCAGACATCCGTTGATCGTAGGGACTTGAAACATGCCTTGGTCTTAGGGACACAAGATATGCTTTGGTCTTAGGGACTTGAAACATGCCTTGGTCTTAGGGACACAAGATATGCTTTGGTCTTAGGGACTTGAAACATGCCTTGGTCT